TGAGAACCATAAGACAAGTCTCTCAACAAGGGTGGACCAGAACTGACTCCAATCCCAAGCATGACAGTTAATATACAGTCCATCTGAAGTTATTATCAAAGCACATAAACCTCAATAACTCCGATTTGATTTGAATCATTTTTGTCAAATTTTAAATGACTAATTTAGACTTCAAGACAAAGCTTGAGTAAAATTTGAGCGTAGGTTCAATGTTTTATTAGTTACTGGATTTATTATAAAAACTGCAGTCTGAAGTTATTATCCAAATTAAACTAATATTAGTTTAAGGCCTCTGAAATCTAATAAAATCAATTTTTTTCTTTCTTTCCAATTTATGTTGAAACATTGATAAATGGAAAGGATCTAATATTGAAAAATTCAAGTTACTAAAGGTTTATGTGATTTGCATAACTTCCTACAGACCAGGATATACCCTATTTTGTTGTCACTTGATCTCCAAAAACCCCTCATCCACTCCTTTACTTCTCCATTCCCCTTCTGACAAAGTGGATGTTGCTTAAAAAACTAGACCTCGAACAGAACTACCTGTTGGCTATAAAACAGAAACACTTGAGATTGAGATAAAACCACATCTTCCTTTTGTACATGGGTGTCCATATTATTGCATGAATATTTCTCTTACAACAAATTTTAACCCTAATTTAATGCAACCCTGCTTTTTCTATGTTCAACTGGGGGGGGGGGTAATACCATGCATAAAACTCCTTATCCTTTTGTACAACATGGCAAAAAATAGTGTCACCTTTGTGGAAAACTAGACATTGTTTCTGAATAAAAGTGACAGAGTTTGTTAATGTCTGAAATAATTTTTCCGTTAATTTAATGGATTTTCAAAAATTACACAATAAAAACCAAATGAGGACCCAAAATTGAAAGAAATTCACAATTCCACACGGCCAAACTTGAAAAGAGATAAAGAAAAAAAAATGGTATGTCATTCAAGAATGAGCTGATAATTTACGAGGTTGGCTGAAAAGTATTTTGGTCTGAACTTCTCAGCTGACACTTGTATTTACCATTCAAAATTAATGATAAATAAATAAATAAATAAAAGGAATGTTTTTGAAAGAAAATTTATTTATCTATTGCATTGTTCATTAAGTGTACAAATAAGAAATACTTACATGTATATACATATATAGGTGAAAAACAATCATATACATATATAAAATGCAATACACGCATATATATTATAATTATTTTTTAAAAATATGATTCCTTCACTACATAAGAGTTCTTGTATTTCAAAAACAGGAGCCAAAAACTTCAATAATTATTAAAAATAAATTCAATTTAAACATCAAGTTGTTTCATCCTCACGCAAAATTTTGGGAATAACTAATTTTGAAATTTATGTAGCTTTATAAGCATATTCATTTGTAAAATTAATTCCTATGGAAACGGCTGAAGCAATCATTTCAATAAGGGGCACAAGGGTTAACATATTGTATCAACATATTAGTTACTTTCGGAAAGAGGTCAAGTCAAGGTAGGGTCAGGGTGTCTATTTTAAAGGAAATGATGACATTCAATAGATGTATTCATCTAGTCTGTTTCAGCGACAGAGAGTTATTGGCATTATTGTTATGCTGTTAAATGTCTAAAGATTTTTTTTTTCCTTGATGACTTCATAAAAGGGTTTTTTATCTTATGATTGGATTAAGCTTTTAACCATTGTAATAGACTATATTTAAAAAAATTTTTTTTAAGCTAATTATTTAATGCGAAAATTTGTTAACTCATGTCTATGGTTTAATAAATTTTCATTTTTTAGAAACTTAATGTGTAGCTTTTCATGTAGGCATAAAGGGCATGGGTCATCCCAGGTTTTACAAGTTCTTGTTTTATTTATTATTTTCCTTTTTACTTTTGAGGTTTTATTCATTTCTTTTAATTGCCAAAAATATTTGGATAGAGATTTCTGATTTCTATTTCTAATATTATTGAAGGAGCTTTTGTGTTGTCTCCATCTAATTTTCAATTCATTTTTCATGGAACCTATATATATCATTTCAGTGTTAGGGCTCTCAATGGATGAGATAGTGCATTGGTATACCACAGATTTTATGTGGCATTTATTTTCCAATGGGAAGTCTTCTGGGTTTCTACAATCACATAATTTTTCATTATTTTTGTCTAATTTTAGTTTAGGGTTTTATTAATACTATTTTGGCATGCATGTTTTTCCAGGATTTTATTATGTTTTTTTAGGATTCTTTCCAGATTTTCAGTGCAACTGTAGCTTAATTTTAAGGTGTTTTTATTAAAGATCTTGCTAAGTTTGCTATTAGTAGGAAAGCGTTTTTCAATTAAAGCTAGGAATTTATGTCCTAGCTTAATACTAACAATTTGGTCGAACGGAGAGGTATACCAAATGATTTTTCTTTTCCTGTTTTTCTTCTGGTTAGTACTATTGTTTCTATAATTGATGTTAGCGTTTTTGTATCCACTATTTTTTAGAGCTGTGTTATAAAAATTACTGTGTTGTTGGAATAGTTCATGCTGATTCTTTTCTCTATTGATGAGGATATATGCTTAATCGTAGATGGAGGGTGGTTTGACCTAGGGTGTACATACAAGGGGTTTGTGTTAGGTTTTCTTTTCATTAAGTCCAGAGTTACGTCAAGGAAGTTTACCCGTTTCTATTTAGTTTTGACTAGTTTTTAAATTTAGTTTTCTGAATTCACTATATATTATCTTTCTAATTTTATCTATTTTAAAATTTGTGAAACTCCTCACTACCATGAGCCCATCATCCATGTATAGCCCAATGTCCTTAATGTCTAATTCACAGTGTACGATTAGGTTGTATAATATAAATAGAATGACAAGGTCAGAAAACTCTGCAGAGTCTAAAGATCCCATGGTGATGTCAAAATGGTCATCAGTGTAAAAACACTGATGACCATTTTGACATCACCATGGGATCTTTATTGATCCCCATTATGAATGGGGACAGTTTTTTTTTGCAGTAAGAATTATATTCATTTCTTCTTTTGTTAGGTCTGAATATACAGTAGCAAACTACAGGGAAGTCATGAATAGATTTCTTGATATTGACTGGTAATAATCCACAATATTGAACTGCAATCAGGCTTATTGTTGATACTGGTAAACCAATTTATGACTTCTTTGGTATTAATCCAGAGTGTTAATCCAAAGTGTTTTTTAATTTGCTTAGTAATCCTTTCTAGGATTCTTTTGCTTATCTTTCTGATGTCGGGTTGGGTCAATCCTTCTAGTGTGTATGTATGTGTATACATATACGTGTGTGTGTGATAATAGCTGGCCACTCATATTCAAGGATGCCCATCTGCTAGGGTGGCTAGCCAATCCCTATTGCAGATGCTCACTCAGGCACATTTGTGTTTGCTCAACACCCACAGAGGTCCATACTGCAACTATGCTGAGCAGACCTCAGTTACAGTTTCTGGGAGAAGGAGTATTATCTAGCATGATCAACAGTCTGAACAAGGCCAGCATACTCAAGCTTTCAGTCACAATGACTTGTGGCTTCATGCTAGAACAGCTATCGACAGCTCCCAAGAGTTCAATTTCATTCACAAGGCTTGGGTCAACCCATGGTATGGTTTTTAGGCACCTTGCAAAGGTGTCAACACAGGGATCGACCTTGATCCAGTCCAATAACATCAGAAAGTCTTCTTCCTGACAGATCGACCATGGTGAGATTCGAACTTATTTCTTCTTTTTCTCCATATCTCATTCACAGATGAAGCTTTAATAAAAAGTGAAACATGTTAGATTGATAAACGTTTCCTATTTGTTCTTTATCATTCTGTCAGATTCCGATCCATATTTGATCCCAACTCATCTTTATATATGTGTGTGTTTTTGTGTGGACACTGAGGTCGACTCCGAGCAGCAACAGTGTGTTTCATGCTTGAATGCAATCTTCAGGCCATATGTGTTGTGTTTTGGCTCCGCTATTAATATATGCTGGCCAATGGTGCATCATGTGTAGCAAGGTCTATTGTATTATCTTAATGGTTATTCAGTAGATGGTAACAGTTAGGTTTCAAATTATTCTAGAGTTTAAAAAACAACATACATGACCTGACATTATGCTACAGCCAAAACAAATAGTTAAAAAAAAAAAAAGAAGAAAAAAAAAAAGCACCTCACAAAATTAATGCTAAGATTCGAATATATATTTTATTACTTAAACGTTATTTTTAGTGGATAACCACATTTGAATAGATGCTTCGTTTTTTTTTTTAACAGTTTATTTATTTATGAACATTCAAAAATCTTGTTAAAGAAAAAAAAAAATGCACCGTCTGGGATTCAAACTTGCGCCTCCTTGGCAGGAGAAACCCTTGTTAGATCCGATATCCTTTAGACCATCTTGTCCACAGAGCATGTCTATGATTGAGTAAAGTTAAATAGTGCCTGATAAATGCAAATCTTTCTCAAACTCTTGAAACATTCATATCTACTCAGATTTATATCCTAATGTAAACAAACTAATGTCAAAAGCGATGGATTTTTTATTTTTTTAATCTGACAGATTTTATTACTGTATATACCCGTGTATCATACAATTTTGGAAGACCTAATTTTGAAGCTAATTTGATTACAGTAAATGGCTATATAGTTTGGTCAACGGTATAGCCAGGAGTACAATACACTAATTTTACATCTCGTGTATGATGTGACCCCCTTTAAAATTAGCTTCAAAATTAGGTCTTCAAAAGTCACATAATAAAGTGATAATATACAGTACTTAAATGTTATTTTTAGTAGATACTAATAATTGAGTAGACACTCTCTTATTTATTAGACGGCATATTTATTGATTTTTGTCTACCAGCCTGAATTTTCCAAAAATCTTGGCATTTGCTTGATCATCAATGCACTCTGTGGCCAAAGCAGTCTAAAGTACATGGTTTCTCCTGCCAAGGGGGACACAGCTTCAAATGCTGCGAACATTATATAAAATAATTATTTGTTGAGTTGTGTTACTGGGGCTTGTAAAGAGAATATACTGCTAAGATGAGTTGGATAATGGGTGAAAGAATAATTGTCATGAGGGGGATACTGTAGTATTGAAGATAAATTTTAATATCATGTAAGGAGAAAATGCCAAAGATGATAATGGTTCCTTGTGTAGAGGGTGGAAGACACCGTATCTGCCAGTATTTCAAAACTTTCTGGAAATAATCAGTCTCAATTTTTGTCTTAAGAACATTTCCCTGAAAAAAAAAAAAAATAAAAAAAAAATATTTTAACAAAAATCAATTGTAAACAGTTTTAATATTTTATTTTTGAGATGAGTAATTTTCGTTATCATCTTGATTGATATAGATGTTATTATAGACAACGTTTCGACCAAGTACCCTCTGGCTATCATCAGGTGTCTATTATTTTCACCATTCACGCATTTGAAGACTATAAATGAGAGTAAGTATTTCCAGTAAAGATTTTAATTTATATTACACTTTATTTTCAGATAGATGGAATAATTGGAATAAAGAGAGTGGGGGGGATTTAAAAGTAATTTTTAATAATTTTAAATAATGAAATGTTTTGTTCTAAAATGCTTGCAATTTAAATTAAATATATCTAAAAGCACATGTAGAAACCGGATAATAAGAAAGACAATGTATGTCAGGTACCTTCACGAGAGGAGTGATGGTTATCAAGGTTAGTTTGGCTGAATCTTACTACTGAGTATTGAGTTCAATCCTCACAGAGTGCACCATAATCCTCTAACAAGTTTCCCATCAACCAGTCAATGATTACCCTATGTTGCATTTCAATTCATAATCTCAACAGCATCAAAAACTGGGAAATGGCCTGCTGCATGCTCACAAGGTAACAAAACATAAGACAAAACACCACATCAGGAAATAAGAATACAATTCCGCTTTCCCATATCATGTGTAGAGGATTTATTCAGGGCTTTGCCTGGGTAGGTAGGTAGGTAACTTCTATCTCAGCTCTTCTCTCTACCAATTCCTTGCCCATCTACAAATCTTGACATGTGGTTTGCAATAGGAATGAGTAGCAAAGGAACCACATAATGGATACATCCATCTCCTGCCAAGAGCGAACCAGAACTGTCTCGATTCAAAGCATGACAATATAGACTGGCACCTGGATATACCCTAATTCTGATTTCGTTGCCACTTGATCTTTAAAAACCCTCATCCACTCCTTTACTTCCTGTTCCCCTTTCAGTCAGAGTGGATGCAGCTTAGAAAACTAGACTTCAAAAAAAAAAAAAAAAAAAAAAAAACCACATGCTGGCAATTAAACAGAAACTCTTGAAATTTAGATAAAAATTTCTCTGTGGGTGTCCATAGTAGAATAATTTCACATTCAATAACCCAACAATGGTTGACATAAAACCAATCAACAAAGTATGTCATCAATTTTTATGGCATGGATTAATGAAGGTGTTCCTTATAGGTATTCAATGGAGGTCCAGTTTTCTATCGTTATTAACTAAAACTGATCCTCCTAGAATTACTATATAATAATTTGAAAAAACATATTTAAAACCTCATATGTTGAAATCCAATAATAGTATGCTAGGCTCCATGAAGTACTGCTCAGTAAGGCTAGTCTGGTTGATCATTGCTACTGAGTAGATAGTCCAATCTTCACTGGGTGGTCCATATAAAATTCAGCATCAAATATCTCAACAGGGCTTAATATGTCATAAAAATCAGCCAACCTAACTAAATAGGCACCTTGGCATGGGGCAATGCCTAGCAAGGTTAGTCTGATTGACCATTATTATTGAGTAGTGGGCTTGATCCTCACTAGGTGCCACATTCAAAATTTAGCATTAAATAACCCAACAAGAGTTGACACATCATAAAATTAGCCAACCTAATTAAATTGGAATGCAAAAAAAGTTCTCAGACAAGAGAGTAGTTTAGTTTTGGAGGCGTTAAAATTAACAAGCCATTTCTTGCCCCAGTTAACAATTGATAGGAGGTCATGTTTGAGATCAGCTGCCAATTTGACCTTATCAAAGTGACCAGACTTACCATCAAGACAGCAGTAAATAGTTGTGTCATCAACATAGATAGCAAGTTGACAACTGATGGCATCAAGAAAATCATTGATGAAAATTAGGAATAATGCATGTCCAAAGATAGAGTCCCAGGGGACACTTGTATTAATGTAAAAAGATCTAGAAGAGAACTTTTGGTCAAGACAACTTTTATTTTGGGATTTGATAAGATTGAATCAGATTTTGAATCAAAATTTGTCCAGAAATATAACCTTTCATGTTGTGAAGGAGACCAGCCTACTAAACTCTGTCAAACACCTTTGAGATATCCAAAGCAACAGTTTGAACTTCACCGTTCTTATCTAAAGCTTGATACTCCATCAGCAGTTGATGGAGAGTAGCCATATTTCTTTTCTGAAAGAAATCTCTGCAATGTAAGATGCTTAACGAATTCAGAGTTAATTAGAGTCATTAGTACTTTGCCAAAAAGTCGTAGAAGGCTAATAGAAGGATCAGATGGTTTGCTTGAGTTCTTAAAATCTGGAACTACAGGAAATTGATCAATTGATTTGTTTTTTATGGCTTATCAACCCTTTGCAGGTTATTTAAAGCCAGAAAATATTTTTAGATTGTAAGATTCTCTTTTGGAAGGTGAGATATTAATGGTTTAGTGATACAAGTCTTACTAATTAACCCATAACTAGGGGAGAAGAGGTGGGTTCATACATTTCCCATTGATATGTGCAGGTAAATGAACATAATGAATCCAAATGGAATTGGAACTCAGCTCTCCGATTAACAATTCTGAGCCATTATCCGTTTCACCACCCGCACATCCAAGCTTACAGTACCTGGTATTCAACCACAGAAGAGAATTTCTAACAACAAAATTTTTTTTTTTTTTTTTACAATGACGTTCACCTTGTACAAGGCCAGGGAGCCACTTAAGGTAGAAAGTTAAGTAAGAGGCACAGTTTATGTGGATATGTGGGGAAGATAACTCTAGATTTGAACAGATTAAAATTGTAGTGATTAGTGAAGCATCTTCTCAGGAGTTGGTTCCACAAAGCAGCGGTTCATGGGAAGAAGCTGCTCAAGTGGAACTTACTTCTCACAAATGGAATACGAAGGGAATGAGGGTGGTTTGCTACAATGTGCATAGCATGGCAGGACATAACTGAAGGTTAGAACTGGTGAAACTAAGCACTCTCCACAGAAATAGCGCTAGAACAGCAAGAGGTTTGCAACGTTTCATCTGTGAGAATGGGGGTTGAAAATAATTTGTCACCTACAAGGATGTGGAAATGTTTTTGGACTATAAAGATTGGAAAGTGAACAAATAAACTTTTCCCAGTTATATATACCAACTACATGTGGAAAATATGTCAAATATATTTAGAGATTTTTGAGAAAATACAAAAATAAATCTGCAATGTTATCGTTTCTGATCTGGCATCTCAGTTTCATCATCATATCAGATTCCTTGTGCTTTTTCTATAAATATTTTCATGGTAATTGTTCTGATGAATTTTCCTCTATGGTACATAGACTATATGAATTTAAGCGCAGTACGACATTGATAGCAAGGTCTCATCATTTTAAAGTAGAAATGGCTAGATGTAACCCTGAGTTCTATATTAACAGTTTCTTCTCTCACATTTCTCATTTGTGGAACTCTTCTGGCTTCTTGCTTCCCAGTCAACTTTGATCTTCCAAAAATTTAAATGCAATGTCAATTGTTATCTTCTGTCTTCTTAATTCTTGTTCTTTTATTGTCCTCTCTCTTTCTCCTTAATAGTGTTTCTTTGCCTCATATTTTCTATCACTCAGTAAACCCCTTGCATCTTAGTGGCTTGAAATTTGGGGTGAAACGATAAAAAAAAAAAAGAAAAGACAATGTGCTTCAATTAGAATGTCCTTAAATAGAAACAATAGAAAAGTATAATTTTTTTTTTTCAATCTTAAAGAACTTTAAAATAGAACTTTCCTTTTCCTTGACCAGCAAGTCAATAGTGAGCAGCAAAAACACAAAAGCAAACTCACTACTTCCTTTGATCTTAGTCAAAATATCTGAGTGCTGAACTGCTATGTAATATCAATCCTTCTATATGGCAATGAATGCTGGATAATTTCCTCAGAGGAAGAGAGGACTGGGAGCAAAATGTGGCTCTACAGAAGGATGCTGAGAATCCCATGGATAAGCATATGCGTAATGATGAAGTTTTAAGGAAAATGGAAATGAAACGAACACTTAGAATCAGAGAGAGTCAGTTGAAATATCTGGGAGGGCTTAGAAAATTTGACACATTGAAGAGGAGCAGAAGGAAACAGAGAGTAACCTGCCCAACATTTGTGCAAATGAATGACAATAGACTGCAAAGGATAGTAGGGAGGCAAACATTTAGAGCACTGGTTCCAAATGGCGTGGCACACCTCATATGTGCAGGGGAAGAGGATAGCAGGTGTGGCAGAATGATTGAAAGACAATCAAAAATTTAGAAACAGTTTCAAAAAATTCATGTGCCAAAAATAAATAAGATTTCAAAATTTAAAATATTATTATGGATTACTTGTAATTGTATGCACAAGTCCCAGTATAAATAGTTATAAATAATTGTGATATTTTTGCATTATATCAAGTATTAAGAATATAGTAACTAGTCTCCGCAAATTGGAGGAGAGAGTTATCAATGATAATGTTCTGACTTCAAATCTGTGGTAATCTCCCTTTAACCCTATCTCTGAAACTTCTTTGCCATAGGGCTGCTTGCGCCTTTTCAGTTCTGACAAATATCAAAAACCAAAAATGAGAAAGGCTTGTTTGTGGAGATGAGAGTTGTTTATCGCAAATCAGGCCAAACAGAAAAGAGATTACTCGTCAAAAACAAGTTCATACCTTTCATTAAATTCGTGTACTTATCGGATTATAAGTTACTGGTGTTATGTATTGTATTTAACACACTATTAGTCATTATTTATTTATTTTTTTTAAAATGTACTTTTTATCACATAAAATTTGATGAGGTGCAAGCAAATTTTGATTCCAAAAATCTGGTCCGTAGAAAAAAAGTTTGGGAACCACTGGCTTAGAGCTACAAAGGATAGGGAATTATGGTGAGCCATGATTGACCACATCCTGAGGCACACAGTACATGAAAGAAGACAATGCACTCAGAATCCTATAATCGTTGCCATCTGCCAAATTTGATTTTGTCTGTAAGAAAGAGCAAACAATGAAGAAAGTATTAATTAAAATAAATGTAAATACAGAAATCAAAATATTTACCATGATCTCATTCAATCTGAAGACATTCGTTTCAATTAGATTTTCAACGTTTTGTGCACTTTTGAACAGAAACAACATCATTCCAGACCAGCAAGTTATCACAGTTAAAAGAATCACCCTGGAATAGAAATAGCAATAAATCAGCGAACAGATTTAATTTGAACAAAATACTATTTACTGTATTGCCCCGGCACGTACCCAATGTGCTTACAGAGTTGCAGGATCAAGTCAGATTTTGATCAACCAAACCAGGATGTTATATTAAATATATTGTAGCAGAAAAAAGAAACAATGAAGGTTTAAAGAAATAAACAATTGTATTAATGTAAAATACAACAAATGATAAATCAGTGTAGATATCTCTTGTTGAGAAAAAGAGAGATAATTGGAGTTATAAATGGCATCCACAGAGGTGTATAGAAGGAGAGGGAGGATGTGTTGTGACTTACTGGTGTGATGGCCCTTGGTGAGCTGTCTCTTGGAGATGGGAGGTCGTTTTTCAATAAAGTCCATGAACCCGAGCCAAAATGCTGTCCAACTGCCGAAAATGTCCCTTTGATGAGTTTTAATGTCCTTTCTTAGGCTCAAATTGGTTCCAGTTTTTATTGTTTCTTTAGGCAGGAGTGGGAAATTCTGGATTGTATTGCTAATGTTTTTTCTTTGAGTGTGCGAATAAAAACAGAAAGTATGTGCAGAGCCTATGTGCAGTTGACAAAATTTTAGTTCACTCTTGGGTTTTGGAATGTTCACATCCAGCCAGTGGTGGAAATTAGTGTAGTATGAATCAGAAGATCTGGTTTTAAAAAGAATGTAACAATGACAAGTAATCCAACTTGCTATAGGACACCTTGTAAACATACAGGCACAACTCTTGCCCAAACTTTCCACTGACTGACCAATGATTACCCCACATTGCATTCAGATTCTTGATTTTGTTGGTGTACACCGAAAGCTGGGAAAAGGCCTACTCCTGCCCACAAGGTAGCAAAATAAAAACCAAACATCGTATTAAGAAAGCAAGAACACAAACCTGGTTTCCCATATTATTATGAAATAGATGTTTCATTCAGAGCCCCACCTGCTCATCTGGATGGGTTGTAAGTGATACTTGGGAAAACTTCTGCTATGGTAGTCTAACAGCTCAGCTTTTCCCCCTACCATCTACTCATCCCTATGTGAAGGCTGACAGCATGAATGGATGGCACAGGACCCGTGTGATGGACAAGCCCATCTCACACAAAGGGTGGACCAGAACACTCCCCTGATCCCAAGCATGATATAATATAGACCAGCAGCTGGATGTACCCTATTTCCAGTTTTGTTGCCACTTAATCTCCAAAAACTTCTCATCAACTTGTTTACTTCCATGTTACCTTTCAAACAAAGTGGATGCCTCTTAGAAGACTGAATTTCAAAAAGAACCATCAAACAGAAACATTTGAGATCGAGATAAAACCACCTCTTCCCTTTATACATGGGTGTCCATAGCATCACAATCTACACGGCGTACAGGTAGTGTAATGGGTATCAGTGAAGAATTTGGAATCGGTGAGGAGTGTTCAAATTCTGACAGTGTCTCTTATGTCCACTTTCGCATAAATACCCATGGGAAAGTTATGGATTCATCTCATCTACATATTGATTAAATAGTAGAGTAGACTGGACTTTCTATCCTTAGGTGGCAGCCAATAAAGGAGAAGGACAAATTCATTCAATGCTATGAATCACAAGAAAACTATTCCTTTGTCCACCAGCAAAAATATTAAAAATTATATATATAAGTGAACATTGAAATCAACACTCAGAGGCGACAGGCTGTTTCATGCCGGACGTCATTGTCAGGCCTGACTTCAATGTTTATTTTTATATTTACATACACTATCTCTGATATTGAACACTTTATCACATAAATATAGAACACCTTAAAACTAGATACATATTATTTACTCAAAAATTATAACAAACATGTTATAACATCACTACAAAAATTTCAACACTTTGGCTATTTTTGTAGTGATGTTATATGTTCATATTATAACTTTTGAATAAATAATATTTGCTCTACTCTGTATTGAACACTCTTTTAAGTTATTTTTTTAAGTTATTTTTTTAAGTTGTTTTTGGTTATTGGAATTTTTATTCTGTCTATACCAATTCTATATTTCTCTGTGTGTGTGTGTGTGTGTGTGTATATATGTATTTAGAATTGATTGATTAGTTTTTTTATGGCTTATCAGCCTTTTGCAGGTTATTTAAAGCCAGAAAATATTTTTAGAATATTTTTGGAGATAATGATTTACTGATACAAGTCCTACTAATTAACTCATAGATGGGGGGAGAGGAGGTGAATTCATACCTTTCACAAGGATATTTGCGCATAAGTGAATATAACAAAACCCGACTGGAACTGGAACTCAGCCCCACCAAATTCCAGTACCAGGCTGTTATTCATTACACAACCCGCACATCCTAGCTTACAGACCAAGTGGTCACCCATCTAGGTACTGACTAGTCTCGATGTTGCTTAACTTCAGTGACTATACAAAAACCAGTGTTTCAACATGATATGGACAAAAGCCAGTAAACAGAGAAATCTACGTATTTATTGTGATCTAATTTAAACTAAAGACCTTGGTTACAATTAAATTTTCAACATTTTGCGCAATTCTGAACAGAAACAGTTCCAGACCAGCATGTTATCCCAGTTAAAAGAATCACTCAAGAAGAAATAAACAGATTTCATTTGTAAAAAATTGTATTCCCTGTATTGTTTTGGTATTCACTCAGGAGTGTGGAGTGGGCATGAGTTGGTTTAGGCAAAGTCTCGTGGATAGTTTTACTATAGGGAACACAGTCTGATCAAACTATAGGGAGCCCAGTCTGACTAACTCTACCTTGCTCTGGGATAACTGCAGATACAGAATTTAATATTGTCAGGTTGTAAAGCATTCACTGTTTGGTTATTTGTAAAATTTGAAAACTGAAAAAGTTAATGAGGCAGAAATCCTCGAGCATTGAAATTTTTATCCAGCAGGATATGAATCAGCCTCATTCCCTACATATTTATTTGGCATCCTACTCCGAAAGGTTCTTATCAAAAACAATAACTTTATGGAACAGACTCCTACATGAATGCTTTCCCAAACAATATAATGTGTGGGAAAATGAAATAAAATAAAAAAAAAAAAATAAAAAGTTTCCTCATGATGCTAGTAGTAAAGGAACTTGAAATATGATTACCCTACTTGGCTTCATCAAACGCTGTTAGGTGGCGCTGTTGAAGTCTATAAAAAGATAAACATTTCTTTCCTCTCACTCTTTCTCCCTCTTGTTTTAAAATATAACACCACATAGTAATTACATTCTCATTGAAGAAGATTAGTTTCCACCAGGCCATTGACTACAGAATCTCTTCCCACTTTCCAATGCATACCATTCGTATGTGTCTTCCAAAACCTCCGCCTATGAAGTAAATCAACCTTTTCTTTGGTTAATACAACTCGGCACAAGGCTGATCTCAGTTCAACCATTGTAACTATGATTAAACCTCCAACAATTGAGTATAAACTTTCTTTGGTTGTTCCAACTTTGCACAAGGCTGACTTGAACTTGACTATTAAAACAATGCTTATCCTTGCTTACCCTAACTTCTGGACCAAGAAAAGGAAAATGGTCATACCATAAGTATACTTAAATCTTCCAACAAAGTATAAAATTTTCTTTGGTTGTTCCAACTCTGCACAAGGCTGATTCAAGCTCAACCATTATCACATTGCTTATACTTACTTTAACTTTTCAACCAAAAGAAAATGGACATACCCAAGAATGATTGAGAACTTGTTTCACTAAAGTTTATATTAAAAAAAAAAAAAAAAAAGAGAATAAATGTCCCATGGTAGAAACCAAAGTTTGTGCATGCTTCGTCTTTAAATGTTAATATGTGAACATGCATGCACACACTTCTAATACTGTTGTAACGTAAAGCAAGACTGTGTTTCAATTGGTGGGAAACACCTAACCAATTGCTCTTCCAGCAACTACAGGGCTAATAGGCAGAGAGGAGGAAGAGATGGGAGGTAATAAAAATAACCCTGCCTTGGAAACCACAGTAAATTCACAAACAAAATACCAACAAGACCGCCTTCACAAGACACAATGTGCTATATGACCATCCATTGCATTCACAATGATTATGTGAATAAATTCTTCAGATCTTGTATAATATTTTTTTTTTTACAAAATACAATATCATCCAAGTTTGTCAAATGCCACTTTTCCAGATAGGGGTCTCTGTAACTTGACTCTTTTCACAAAACTAAAAACAGTGATTCTAACATTAGATACATTAACAAAACTATCTAACAAAGGGTTTTTTAAAAAAAAGTAGTAAAAATATAAAAACTCATAAAAAATATCGTGTGTACTAGTATACCTGTTCCATCAAAGATGGCGACAATTGTTAAAAAATTTAATAGGGAGATGCAATGAAACAAAAGCCTTGAAACGATGTATTGAGATTCAATAAAGCAGTGATAAAGAAATCACAACTAAAATAGAACCCAATGAACCATTTAATTAATCTGCTCCCCTTTCTTTTTTTAATTAATCCACACCTTTTTTTTTTATATATACACGTTCAGTGATATCTATGAGTCATTGATTACTCCTGGTATTAAATAAATAACTCTTTACTCAATATCTATCAGGTGTAAAATTTGTTTTATAGGATTGTAGACCTTACTTATGATTCAACCCACATATATATCTATGTTGATAGAAAAAGAGCCGCCTTGTCAGATTGGTTATACTTACCATCTTCTTATTCTTTTAGGTGTCAATCTGTTCTTTGCATAAACATTATCAAAAAGATAGTAAACCAGAAGGATAATTCCACCAATGTAAGAGAAGATATAAATTTGGTAATTCCAAGAAGGTTGGGACGTGTCAAAAGTTTCAATAATCTCATTCTAGAAAACAAAAGAAAAAAAATCATTTAATATCAATAAAAATTGATTTTGTCCATAAAAATAAATAAATAAAAATCAACTCATTTCAAAAATGCTTACTATCGTGGAAAATATATAGCCACTTTTAATCATAATACCTTGTCAGTTGCCTTTAACAAAATTTGTGTATATAAGTTGTAACCTGTCTGTTTGTTATCGATCTCCTTCTAAGGTTTTAAAGATAGACCCCCATCACCATATGTATTCTGAAACTACATTACTCAGGGTACTTTGATAAGTATATTTCATTTTGATTGAAAGGGGTCCTCGGGGAGCAGAGACCCCCACACACACAGAAAAGTTTCCCCCGACCCCCCACTTTGATTTAAATTAAATTTAAATTTGAACAAGGAAATGAGGCCTATCCAAAATATAGAAGGAGAAAGCCAGAAGATGGAGGTCACATTGGCAAGATCAAAATGAGACAATATGGCTGTCAAGTTGAGCAAGAAATCACTAATCAGTGGGTAGTGCCTTACAATACTGTCATATCAATGTTGAAATATGCTCATCAATTCATTCAATCAAGTACTGCATCAAATACATATCAAAGGGGTCAGATCAAGCTGTTTTTGTACACCACTGAAAATATTTTAATTTTGATTTAAAAGGAGAAAGCAAGAGAACGTACATGACTATGTTTTTCTAAAAAATGTTGTTTAATAGAACTAAGATCAGAAAAGGTAAGTCTATGGTAGAGTGTGGTAGTGATATATATATATATATATATATATATATATATATATATATATATATATATGTGTGTGTGTGTGTGTGTATGTATGTATGTATGAGGTAATAATCTGTTGGTATACAATCCAAGTGAATCCTAATAATATAAAATATTAAAACTGATCCACAAAGAGAGCTCAATGTATTTATTCTAACAGATCATATATAAATTACATACAATAGGAATTCAAAATTACCTCATATAGTTATGATCATTTAACCTCACAAGGATTTTTCAAACCATTCACAATAATAAGATAAAATAAAAAAAATATTTAAAAAAAAATTTATTTTATCTTATTACCTTGATCGGTTTGAAAATCCTTAAAAGTTAATCTTGTTAAGGTGAAATGATCATAACTAGGAGGTAATTTTAATTCCTATTGTATGTAATTTATATATATGTATGTATATATGTGAAAGTAGACACTGAAATCAACACCAAATAGCAACAGTCTGTTGTGTGCTTAAACACAATCTTCAGGCCATGTGTATTGTGTGGTTGGTTTGGTTTGTTTTGTTTTACAGCACATCAACCTCAATGGGTTATTTAATGCCGACAAATTTTTTATTGCTGGTAATATTTTTTCTAAAAATGTATTGCTGGTAATTTTTTTTTTTTTACAAAGTATTTCTGGTATTAAAACCTATTTTTACACTTTCATAGTTTTTTGACCCCAGTTTGGGTGTCAACTATTTGCCCATAGCTGGGACCCTAACAGGTGCTACCACCCCGGGTCAGGGTGGACCTGGGAATATCAGCAATTAAGAGGTGGTTCCACACTCCTCAAAACCTCCTAATCAGAGGCCTTGCTGTTGTATGTAGTTTACCGTCATACCCAGGATGGGTGTTGTGTGGTGGCTTGACTATTTATATGTACTTGTCAATGAGACATTATGTGTAGCAAGATCAGGTCTTTCTGGTTTATTGTATTATACTAATGGTAACTGGATAGGCACCAATGGTTATATTTAAAATCATTCTGAAGGCTTTTGAGTAAAAGTAATTACTGGCCAAAATTCACTTATTTTATAGCTATTGTATTAGTTTGTTTATTAACTTTTAACTCATTATTTATTATTGATTACTTAAGTTTGGTTTGGTTTGTTTTACAGCATATCAACCTCAATGCCGACAAGATTTTTTATTGCTGCTAATATTTTTCTCTCCAAAAATGTATTTATGGTAATAATGTATTACTGGTAACCATTTTTTTCTTCAAAATTCATTGCTGGTAGTAGTTTTTTTACAAAATGTATTGCTAGTATTAAAACCTATTTTTACACTTTCATAGTGTTTTGATCCCAGTTAGAGGCTTAACTATTTGCCCAATGCTAGGACCCTAACAGGTGCTACCACTCTGGGTTAGGGTGGACCTGGGAACACTAGCAACTAAGAGGTGGTACCACACTCCACAAAACCAATTGATCAGAGGCCTTGCTACAGGATGTAGTTTATTGTCATACCTAGGACATGATTACTTAGGGGGTTTGTATTTATTCATTAATCATTTGTTGTTGATTATTATTATTATTATCATTATTATTATTAAATTAACTTAGTTGTGGCTATGCATGTAGCCAGTTTGTTAATTTGATTATTACTATTTAATATTTTCCTGGGGATGGGGGGGGGATTAACTTACTTGTTTGTTTAAAGTATTGGCATTGTTATATTATCTGCATTGTATATCATGCATATATTTGCATTTTTGTTGGTGATATTTTACAAGGTATTTTCTTGATCAGAAATGTGCCTGATCAGGCATCCACAACAGGGATTATGAAAACCATATCACTTGTCAGCAAAATCAGATAGGCAAAATGGCTTCAATTTTGTTGATAGTTGCACTACATAAAGTCTCAATTCCTCGTGACCAAGACTCTAAACGTGCTGGCTCTTGTTCAACTACTGATCACGCCAGATTATGCGCTCTCTCCCAGAAACTGTAACTAAGGTTGGCTCAGCCTAGTTGCAATATAAACCACAGGTTGGTTCTCTGGGTGTTGAATGAACACAAATGTGCCCAAGCAGGGGTCTTCAACAGGGATTAGCTAGCGACCCTAGCAGACAGGCCTACTTGGAAAACAAGCCAGCCAGCTACATCAACATTATTAGCCAAAGGTTGCCCTGAAACAATTTCTCAAACTCACCAACAGATTGTGAAAATCCCTGTGCCAATGCCGGATGCCATCATGGAAATGCTCAGTGGTGGATATTGTATAAATAGGATGCTCAGAGGAAAAGTTTTTCAAGCGGGCTGAAAATCTGTCCAAACTGTTGATAGTAGAACCTGTTGGAGAAACAAAACAAAAATAACAATTGAATTCTGACCATCACCAATATGGATCTTTTTCAAATTCGGTACACTTATGGGACTTCATGATAGAAATTGAATGATGCCTACTTTACATTTCTAGGTCAAAGGGTTCCCGGGATATGACCCTTTGACCTTTGCCAAAAGGGTTAATTTTAGAAAATAGTCCCAAAGTTTAAATATCAATATCTCAGTTGTTTCTTTTTCACCTACAAAGTTAAATTATATACCATTTTAAAGTACTTGGATAGATCTAGAATGTGATCAGTTTATTTTTTTTGTTTAAAAGGTCAAATAAAATTACTTGACCTTGAACAGAACCTTTAATTTCTCAAAAACTATAAAACTGAGAAAAAAAATCTCTAGTGAAATAGGAGCCATAAATCATATTATTAAGTGATCTGCAATTGCAGACCAGATGTATTGACAAGTGTATGTAAATTTACTGAAATTAAAAAATGAAATGAAAATAAAAAGAAAATAGGAAAAAAGTGAAATTGAAAGAATAAAGAGAGAAAAAATAAAAAAAAGGAAAAACATGAAAAAGAAAAAATTTAGTGAAAAAAAAAAAAAAAAAAAAAAAAAAAAAACTACTACAAGAAGGGACCCACATTTCAATATAATTCAAAATCGTTTTACTAAATTGACAAACAACCCAACAAACAAGAAACTGATTTTATTACAATATATGAACCTGATAAAACAAGAAAAAAAATTACCATGTATTTTGATGAAGGCGTATCCGATAAAAATACCCATGGCTATAGAAAATGTTGCTAGGTGGACAATACCCTTGCTATCCAGTCTCATTTTCTCCATCTCGGGCCACAGAGAGAAGCCACCACCGGTGGCTAATTTGCTGGAATTTAGGCGAATATCTTCATGTTTCTGAATCAAAATCTTACGTTTTTCACCAAGCGGCTGAGCTGCAATATATTATGTTAAAATAATCAAAGAAAATTTTGTTAGAAATTCAACGAGAAATGTTATTTGAAAATAGCTCTCAAAAATTGTCTGAAAATAGCTCTTAAAATTGTTCCAGACAAAAATCCAGTAGCAAATTAACTATTGCATAATTAGTAGATAAACACATACTATCATCCTGTGCAATACAAACAGCCAAGACAGGGGAATTGATTTTTTTTGTTACAGCTTATCAATCTTTTGCAGGTTATTTAAAGCCAGAAAATATTTTTAGATTGTAAGAATTTTCTGATACAATGTATGCATCTATTTATTTACTATCAAGTCATGTGACAATTTTCCAGCCATACAGATTAGGATTTACAATGACACACCCACATAGCATTTTCACCTATCAAGGAGTTGCCAAACATCAGAGATATTTGTTTATAAAAAAGTTCTAATATGGTGTAGTGAATTATATAACTATGAATGTTTATTATTTTTCACACACATAATAGGTGAAATATAATATCAAGTGTTTGTTTATATACGTGGATTAACATAAGAATGCATGTCATAAAAATGCCATATAAACGGAAAAATAGCCGAAGTGCAAGAACCCCTTGTTTAATTTTACTGAAATGTAGCACTCTACTTGGTAGAGGGTTCATCACACAATAGGCTCCTAAATTGATTGGAGTATTATGTATTGATTAAGCTGAATCTCATAAAAAAAAAAAATATACAACCAATTTAGGAGCATATTGTACCTTGAAAGCCTGCCAAGTGCAGTACCAAATTTCATTCAAATGAAACAAATTTGTTTTTGATACACATTCTTATATGAATCCATGTATATAAACAAAAACTTTCATATTATATTTCAACTATAATGTATGTGAAAAATAATATTCACATGTTATAGCAACATTATTAAATACATTTAAATATATATATATAACACATATTTATACATGCTGGTTTGCAGCCATTATGTAATTTTAAATAAATGTGAGGAAGAAATAAGTATGTATGATAAAAATTATAATTATTTTTTTTTAAAATTACCTAGAAAAAAAAAAAATTATGAAACTAAGTGCAACAACAAGGAGGCATCCATACCTTATGTTATTTCAATAAACATGAATCTTCCTAAGCTAACAATTGCTGTATTTTTAAATAACTTTCACCTTTGAAAATGATATGGTAATACTAAAATTGCTACTCTTGAATGGAATGGTGTTTAGTGTGATATCAATTTGCAATTCCAATCTAAAAAAAACAAAAAAAAAAACCAACTTTTATTAAATTCTTATTGCAATATTGTATAATGTGAGCAATAATAATTACAGTAACTTGTATTGCAAATACAAATTAAAATATGTGTAATTAATTTTTTTTTCAGAGAAATATATTTCTATATAATATATATATTTTAATATTTTTTTCTATTCAAGTACAAAAATGATTTAATCAATAATTATTATTTAATTCAAGTATAGAAAATAAAAAAATATAAAAAATAAGCGTTTTTTTAATACCATGTCCTTTCAGGATATAAGCAATCACAGTTCTCCAAAAATTGTTCTTCATTATCTACAAATTGGTATACATTCTTGGGAGTGTTATGAAAGTGGTTTCCTGTTGCCTTCTCCATGGTTTAGTATTCAGAGTTTTCCTTCTCTTACACTGGTTGCACCCAGAGCTAGAGAGTCACTTTGCTATTTAATGGCAGAAGGGTTCATGCCTTTCCTAAGGACATTTGTGCGAAAGTGAATGTGAGATAGTAGTGTGAAATTTAAACTTGATTTGGTAATTCCACTTTCCATATGTTATCAATTACCTGATCCACACACAACAAAAACTGCTAATTTTTAAAGAATTCAGAAGAAATTTTAATTTTCTTTGGAATTTTTCGAGATTAAGTTCATCCTATAATTTTGCTTGTCCCGTTTTTCATTAGTTAACTGAACCATTACACCCTGTTAAAGCCTCACAAAAAGCAGACTATTCCATTTTGATCAAGTAGAAAGACAAAAAAAAAAAAAAAAAAAAAAATTATCAGAAATGTGACTTGGTTTCAGTGAAAAAAAAAAAAAAAAAAAAAAAAAGAAAGATACATCTTCTGCTAATACCTCATAAATTATGGACTATTCCATTTTGATCACATGAGAAGATAAAAGGCATATCAAAGTAACTATTAGGTTTCATGAGAAAATGAAAGGGACGATAGAAATGTTTAATGTTTGTTTCAGTGAATTCGCTGTCAATTTCAAAATCTTTTCATCTCTACCTCGTTAATTCTTAAAATAATGACCAACATTCATATCATTTATGATCATTACTAAAATATATTGTTAAAGTTACTAATGTATCTAGCTTCACTCCTCAGCAATGTTTATTGCTTTAAAAAGCAATTAGAATTTTAATAAAATCTAAATATATAAAAATGAATTTATACATATTCTTTGTTCTTGTGAATTGACAACAAAAATAATAAACACTATTTATTTACACTATTTTATTATATTATTTATTGGAATGATTGGCAAAACATTGGCTAATCACCAATTAAATCAAACTTTATAAAATAGTAAATAATGATTTCCTTAAAGTTGGTTCATATACTTTAATAATTTAGTAAAAGTTCATAATTGTACGAGTAAAAAATTATTTTTATATTTATTTAACAATGTGAATTTCTACAGATATTTTATTGTCATAGAATTTGCCATGAGCTTATTCAATTATTAACCGCAGAATTAAGATTCATCAGAAAATTTAAATAGGAAAACTGTAAAATTTTCACTGGTTAAAACTAGTTATAATTATTATCTGCTTTACTATTTGGATCAGCACACTCATCTTTGTAATCCACTATGCATCCAAGAGTGGATTAAAATCTAGGCCCAGTGGATTCAAGCACTGATTAAAACATATTCAGTTCCATGACAGTTGTGAGTTCAATCCCTTGATCTGGTAGCACTGAAAAGTTTGCTCCAGTAGAAAAAACAAATGACACAAAAGTAACTAACTGATCTGATTTATTTATTTATTGATTCATTTTCTATAGTTTATCAACCCTTTGCAGGTTATTTAAAGCCAGAAAATATTTTTACATTTTAAGAATGGGGAGGTGGGTGAAATAATAATGGTTTAGTGATAAAAGTCTAGCTAAGGAGAGAAGACATGGAGTCATACCTAATCAGAATTTGATAAACAGGAAATTATCATGTGGATATAAATTGGGGGATCAATCATATATTACAATCAATATATAAACTGATCCCTCACTTTGTGGCCACGGTAGTTTCTATACAGTTATATTCCAGAAAATGTAAATAAATCTAAAAGACATGCATCATTTTCTACAGCTTATCAACCAGGTTATTCAAAGCCAGAAAATATTTTTAGATTGTAAAAATGCTTGTTTTTGGAGATAATATTGCTTTAGTGATAGTAGTCTTATTAATTAAACCCATAGCTTGGAGAAGAAGAGGTGGATTCATACCTTTCCCAAGGGTATTTGTGCATAAGTGAATATAACGAACCCAACTGGAATTGGAACTCAGCTCCCCAATTAAAAATGCTGAGCCATTCTCCATTACACCACCTGCACATCCAAGCATATAGTACTTGGTTTTGCGAAGCAGTCACCCATCTAGGAACTCACCAGGCTTGACATTGGCTGGTGCAATAACAGATCACACAAGACTCTGTAGCCTTGGTGGTAGCCAGTCTAGGGCTAGTATGCTCTTCTATTTAACACTACAACTGGGATTAGGGAGGAAAAAAAAAATCAGTATGCTACCTACTACCAGTCTAGAAGGACTTCTCTGAATTCCAAACAGTCAAATCTCCTTGTTTAAGTTGATGAATGCTACCATAATCCTTGCCTTCAGTTCATCTTTGGTGTCACAAGGAATTTTGTTGGTTTTGCGCTCAACTGTGCCCCACACATAATAATCAGTATTGACCAGATTCAATGCTGCTTAACTTTGGTGATCATATGGGAACCAATGTTTTAAAGTGATATATCCATATGTTACTGTTATGATGTTGATTTGGGGTTAATAAAGACAAACGCCAAATAACAAGTAACAATAAAAAGGGGTTTATTCGGTTGGTAAGTAGATACAGAAATCGCCTGAGTAGCCTATAACTAACTCAGCCAAGAACTTCTCCGACTGTCTGTCTTTTGACATGCCGCTATTTAACGTCTTTGCTCGCAGACAAGTTCATCTTCAAAGAGGGTGGTAGGTTTCCTACACAACACCTCCCCCTTGAGATTAATTCGGAGGAATTAATATCTTTCCTTTGGGATCTGGACTTAAACGTTCCACCCTAGTTCTTTTTCTTTTGCTTGTCCAATGAGTACTTATATGGCCTTTATTGCCACACGAATAGCACTTTTTGTCGCAAAAAAAAAAAAAAACATTCACTTTTAAAATGACCACCACCGCATCCAAAGCACGTTGGTTTTTAACGTTTTTATTAACTATTCCCTTTTTGGTCGAATAGCATGGACACGGGATACGTTTTTTTTCTTCAATTTGCGTATTGTCATGTTTTAAGTTTTCAATTCTTTGACATTCTTCGTAACCTTCTGCAAAGTGATCTGGAATCTTGTTCAAAGTTTTGCCAATATTCTGGACCTTGTGTCCTTATCTTTGCTAAGTCAAGCCTTGAACTTAATATCAAACATTTAAATTGATCAATTGAAAGATCATGTAACATAAAACGTTCACACATTCTGTTAACATTTCCAGCATACGTAACAATATCCTCATCGTCACGCTTTTACCATATTCAAACACGAGAAACGAGTATGAAACAAAACTAACTCGCTCGCCAAAAAATACTAGATAAAGTATTAATAGTTTCTTGAAAGAAAATGTCACTAGTTTTTTTCTTGGAAGGACAAAATTCAGATACTTATTATTTTTCATCTGTACCCAACTTTTGTACAAGTAAACTCACTTTTTGTTCATCAGTCCAACCATCACATTTTTTTCAAATATTGTTTCAAATCTTCTGAAATACGGAGGAAATGTTATACCCTCCTCTGGGTTAAATTTGAACTCAGTAATAGAATTAGCAATACCTTGGCCGTGAATGATGAATTTACTGGATTCTTAAGTAAAATCGCTTCAAATAAAAGCCTTTGTGTCATTTCACTGCTGAACTTGTAAATCCAATAGTTGTTAAAAACAATTTTGTTGCTCTTGTTGCAATCTTTGTTGCTCTTGTTGCTGAATTTGACTTTGCACTAGAGTTTTCGTTAATGCAATCAAATCCTCCATTATCGTAAAAGATTACACAAAACACTTTTCGAAAACAGTCAAAAAAGGGAAAAACACATATATATCCAACAATAAGCACAAGTCTTACTTCTTTTTGGCACGTTGAAATCCTATTTCTTCGTGAAGAACAAAGTTCAACGTATTGTTTTTTTTTTCTTTCTTTCAGTGCGAGAAAAAAAAAAAAAATTATATAGTCCACCTAGAGTTGAAAAATTCTCCACTCAGCGTGATGAACGAATCTCTCGTCGCCACTGTTATGATGTTGATTTGGGGTTAATAAAGACAAACGCCAAATAACAAGTAACAATAAAAAGGGGTTTATTCGGTTGGTAAGTAGGTACAGAAATCGCCTGAGTAGTCTATAACTAACTCAGCCAAGAACTTCTCTGACTGTCTGTCTTTTGACATGCCGCTATTTAACGTCTTTGCTCACAGACAAGTTCATCTTCAAGAAGGGTGGTAGGTTTCCTACACAACAGTTACGACTTTCAGAAGCAGGTGATCTATCATAAATTATTGTATATACAGGGTGCGATGAATAAATTGTCGTCTAAATTACGCATAAATGAAAATAATACTGACATCTCATTTTAACAGATATTTTTACCAAAATTACACAAAAATATCTTTAAATACTAAAAAGTAAATTTATTCAGTAATATTGCCATTGGCTTCAACCACAGCCACCAAATGACTTCAGAATCTCTTGTATCTCTTCTTGTTTTAAGTTGGTGAATGCTGCCATAATCCTTGCCTTCAGTTCATCTTTGGTGTTACAAGGAGTTTTATTGGTCTCTCGCTCAACTACACCCCATACATAATAATCAAGGGGGTTGTGGTCTGAGGGAGTTAGGTGGCCAGATGTAAGGGGTGATGTGGCATGGTGCAGAATCCTGTTGCCAGACATAGAGCCTTTCATCAGCCACCTTCTTAACCTGGGGCAGCACTACCTCTTCAAGGCACTTGATGTAAGCCTGGGGCCATGTAGGAAGATGTTGAGACTGGGGCCATGTAGGAAGATGAATGGAGGTATATCACCATCACTAGTGATCGCTCCATAATTGTTATGGTCTGGTTCTTTGTACCACGGTGATAGTCCAAGGTAGAACCAATAAAGAAGAACTTGAATACGGATATGGAATAACACAGATATATTACAAACAGGAATATATACAGAGAAGTAGAAAGTGTTAGTACGAACAATCAGGTTTAGTAGTAATTGTCTGAACGTGACTGTTTCAGACTGCCTCTGACTCGACTGACTGGCTGACTCGCTCACTCTGACTGACCGACAGACTCCTGACAGACCTCACTCCAGACTGAACTCCCTGCTTCCTCTTGAGGCGCAGTATTTATTACGTATGGAATAGTCCATTATGTTATTATGGGTAAGGTCCCATAACAGTAATTAAGATTAGGCTCATCCAACTCTTTCCAAATCTTCTGTACTGTCCTCAGATTGACACCCAAACATTCTGAAATGTTTGTAGTGGAGCTTCCAGTGTGAATGCCAAGCAGTAATGCATGCAGTTTCCAAATTTTTGGTGGAGTGAATTACGTCATGGTGCTCTTTTTCTTACAGACAGTACCCAATTAACCCTATTATACGATGCCATTGGCAAAATCAAAAACAAACACTGCACAAAATTAAAAATATAAATGTAAAAGGAATTACAATTTGTCCATTGCATATATATATATATATATATATATATATATATATATATATATATATATATAGGGTGTGTCTAATGCATTAAAAATGATCAAAATCTTCTTGATAATGATTGATGTAGAAAGGCTAAAACTATTCATTCTTATAAGACGTACATATATAGCTTTGAATTTAAAATGAAATGAAAAAATAAAAGGATTAATACAGATTGACTTTGACATTGATTGACCTGACCTTGGTGAAAATAACGGAAATGTGGCCTCAAAGTTCATATGACTGAAGGTTAGTGATGAAAAGACTAGTAAGTGTGAAACGATCTCTCTTTAAATTATTCAAGATAGGACTTAAGGGAACAATTTTGCTGAATTCTCTCTCACTTGTGAATCCACTACATTTCTGCAGTTGTCGTCTGACAATTCTTACCATCGTCTATTAACAATTTCGATTTTAAACATGGTTCTTATACAGGAAACTATCTCTTGAGATTACTTCACAAGATTGATATTTGCTACAGTAGCATTTTATTCCATTTGGAGGTGCATGCCGTAACATGGTTGTTGGCAAACCAATTCATTCAATTGGTTTCCTATTAATTAAAATTTCAACTTTCTGTTTGAGTGAGTTGCATCATGGTACTGTTTTTCTCACGGGCAGTGCTTAACTGACCTTATTATATGGTGCAGTCAAAAAAACCCAAAACAAAGAACATGTATGCGTGAAATTAAAAATATAAAATGGTGACAATTTACCCATCACGCCCTGCGTATATAAAGACTATGAATTTTGTCGACAGTAAGAAAAACTTTTGGCTAGCATCAAGGTAACTATATAAGAACAGGATGGAGAGAGAGACTCATCACATTTCAGTATCTAAGAAAAAAAAAAAAATTCAGATTCATCACTTAATGGATGACTGGCGTCAAAAGCAAATCATATTTCACCTGTTTGAATTTCTAACTTTTGATTTTGTTTTTTTTCCCTTTCTTCTCACACAAACTTTAAATAAAATCACTTCACTGTCTTTCCCAAGAAGTCATGACAATTCACAGATATTAAGAAAAGGAAGCTGTAGAGAGCCGTGGCCTCCTACGTCCTGAAGGATCATGGCATTAAAAAGCTAATAAAGAAATACTCAAAATCTCATTACCAGGAGTTAAGCGAAGTTGCGCCAAAGTCGGACTAATCTTTCTGTTAAAACAAGTCGGAGTTTGGTGGCTGCTCAAATCATCAATAAATTTTTGCTGCAGTTCACTAAAATTTATCTCTCCTGAAACCTCCTCCTGTGACAAATTGTCTTCCACAATTGACTTTCGAGGCCTTGCTCTCCATTGTAGGTCATCATATCCTGGGATGATAGGAGTCCGTGGAGTGGAAATCCTCTTGACTGATGGTTTCACTTTATAATGGGTGCCAGCACCAAAGTGCTCTTTTACCATTTTGTTCTCAGAAATTGCCTTCATGGCTGCCTAAAGAAGAAGAAAAGAAAAGTTATTCATTTTCTACATCAAGCAGAGAAAAATACCATTCAATAAATAAAAAATGTGAATTATTATTATATAAATATCAAAAAGACATTTCATTTGGGTCGATGGATTTTATGATGTATCAACCCTAGTTGGGTATATTTAATGACAAAATTGTCAATAGGTAAACATTGGTCAGGTTTATACTCAAGACTGCAGTCAGACATTGGTTGTGTTTATAATTGAATCAACAGATAAACACTGGCCGTATCTAGATTTTTGCGTGTAAGTCAATGCTGGCTGAATCTGCACTCGCATCTGGAGGCCAACGCTGGCCGTGTCTGCATTTGAGTTTGTAGGTAAATACTCAGTAGGTGGCTACTTTTTGAGCAAGAGGTCTTAATCCTCTGTAGGGGATACAACTGGCATATTCTAGTTCTGCTAACTGGGCAATGTCTGTTTGAGTACTCATACAGGGGCCCATAGGCAAATTTTGTACATTATTTTAGCAGATAATATGGTTGATTTACTTTCTGGAATTTTCCTCTGGAAGGTTTAAACTGAAGATAAAAACTTTTCAGCTGAGCTACTGAGAGCTCTGTGGAGTCGGAACACAAAAATACACAACACCTTCGACTCCTCTCCTATTGGCACCACCATCTCCTCTTTAGGTAATTTAGTGATTATGGCCTACAATTCCCAAAGCCTATGCATATGCTCCTAACTTGAGTAGGCCCATATCATTATAACTGGTTTATATCAAAGAATAAATACATTGTTACTTTTATATCATAACTATTCATCCTTCAATATTTTCTAACAAAATTAGAGACAAAATAATAAAAATACTATAATGTAAGACACACACACACACACATATATATATATATTTATTTGCAAATAGGAAATAATTACAGAACAAAAATAAAACTACTTTATAACAGAAGTTGAAATATAATCTTTTACAGGATGTAAAAGACATAGCAAAAATAAAAATTCTATAAAATATTTTTTTCTTCTTTTACATATATAGTTTTGTAAATACAAAAAATAAAATAACTTTAAAAAAGAAGTTGAGATGAATTTCTTTAAAGGAAACAGTAAATATACAGTAGAAGAAATAACAATAAAAATTCTATAATGTAAGAAGTTTTACATAAAATTTAAATTCAACTGGAGTTGTAGTCATTATAGTTTTACCAACTCTGAAACCGATACTGATGGTATTGACCGTCTTCTGCGGCTGACTGAAGTTTTCAATTCCTTGACATTTCATCGCCAATAATCGGTTTCTCTGTGACTATGCAGAGCATAACCTGGCACATAATGTTTCCTGGATATGAAATAATCTGAAACTGGTATGGGTCGTTGGCTACTGTCATAAAAAATAAAAAAATAAAAAAATAGGGAAAATTTTTCCAGGTAATCATTTTTGCAGATTAGCATTCATTAGACATACCACAAGCTATGACATTTGTCTGTATCGATAAATAGCGATTTCTTATCAATTTAGAAGTGGGTTACTGTTCGTAATATCAATACAGTATAAAATTGATTCCTGACTTTTTACAGAGTTATCTGGAATGTCATCAAGCCAGATTTGTCAGAACTGAAAAACAGTGACTTTTTATTGCTTTAGAAGGAGGTGACCTGTTCATAATATCAATACTGTATAAAAATTGATCCCTGACTTTTTAGAGTTACCTGGACCTAACCATTCTGCATAAAAAAAAAAAAAAAAACACAAAGAAAAGCCCTTTATTTTTTTTTTTAAACTAGTACATTTCTTTGAAATAAAGAGCAGATATGTACATTTTTAACTAAAGAACAAAAATTTACATAAATTAATAAAAGTATATATCTGTTTAATCTTCATTTAAGAGAAATAATTATTATTCCCCAATGTTAGCACATATGCTAAAAAAATTTAAAAAATAGTTAATAAAAAGTTTTTAAAAATTCAGAAAATTAAAAAAAAAAAAATACAGATATCAATGATGTTAGTACAGTTTCAAATTTGACATTTGTATTGATTTGTTTTTTTATAGCTTATCAACCTTTTGTGGGCTAATTAAAGCCAAAATATATTTTGGATTGTAAGATTAATTCTATTTTGTGAGGAAATATTGCATTAACAATTTCTTTTCTGATACAAGTCCTGCTATTTAACCCACAACTGGGAGGAGGAGAATAATTCATACCTTCTCAAGTGTATGTAATGGGGTCAACTGGAATTCAAACTCAGCTCCCTGATTTCTCACTCTGAGCCATTTTCCATTACACCACCTACTCATCCTTGACATTTGTAAATAATAAACTATTGATTGTTTATTTTTTTTATGTTTTAACTCTTTTCAGGTTATTTAAAACCAGAAAATATTTTCCAATTGTAAGAATTATTTTGGAGATAGTAATGATTTACTTATACAAGTCCTACTAATTAACCCATAACTGGGGGGGAGAAGAGATAAATTCGTACCTTTCCTAAGGGTATTTGTGTGTAAATGAATATAACAAACTTGACAGGGATAAGAATTCGGCTCTCCAATTTCCAATTCCATGCCATTATCCATTAAACCATCCACACATCCAAACTTACAGCACGTGGCATTCTCAAGTAGTTACCCATCTAGGCCCAATGTTGCTTAACTTTGGTGATTGTATGAGAACCAGTGTTTCAGAGTGATATGGCTGTAAGCCTTAAATAATAAACTAAGTCCAGATAACTTGGTAAAAAAAAAGTCAGGGATCGATTTGTGACTGTATTATGAAGAGGAACTCAATATTTTGACTCTCATGGATTAAGGAAAGCATGATAAATGTTAAATCTACAAAAATTATTCCCTGAATTTTTTTCTTCTCTTTTCTTTTAAACAAGTGGACCAGTTTTTATTTTTAAAAATGAAAAGTGCTCCACTTAAAAAATTAAAAGGCAAAAATTATGACAAAGTGGGAAAAGTTTGTGATGGATTTCATCCTTTAGGACTTCATCAGACGTTTATGTTGATGCAACTACACATATGCATGAAGAAGAGGGGGACACTGAGAATTTAAAATTTATTTATTTTTAAAAACACATTTTGGGTATAAGGTCTAGCCAACTTGATTTAGTTTCTTTTTGTTCATGTTTCCATCACATTTGTTATTAAATATTGTCATAATAGAAGATCTGTCAAAAAAAGTGAAACGTTGCAAAAACATGGACATAAATTTACTGTGGATGATCTGGCAATTAAAGCTCTTTCTAAACATTTTCATAAAGGAAAAATCTTTCTTGAAGCCTTTATTTTAGCTTTAATTTCAATAGATTAAATTTAATATTTCCAATAAGCAAAATGCTTTATTTCAAAACTAATTTAAATCGACTGAAGATGTTTGTTTTTCTTTGTTAAAAAAAATTGACTTTAGCACCATTTTTTAGCCCTTTAATGCAATGAAATTCTCTTTATTAAAAAATGTTCCAAAAATACCTTTTGCTACTACATTCTGGAGCAAAAAAAAAAAAAGAAAAGAATAAGAGGGTTTATAGTCCCGTCCTTTTATAGTCCTGAACAGTGCCACCTAGTGAGTGTCTTGGCAGATAAAGTGGGATAAATCACAGAATACATTAACAGCTGAAATCAATCTTGCCAATCACCCGGATTCCTTTCCTGCAGCTGCAACATCACAAACCTATCGCTACTTCTACAGCAAATGTTCAGACAACCTCCCACATTTTAGTGCCACTAGTTCAAGCATTTGCAACCAAAACCCACCTTGTTACATCCAGATTTGAATTGCCTTCATATGCATTTGGTAAAAAGGATGTTCCTATCAGAAAGCTTTTTCACACTACTTTGTGGAAGAGATTTCCGCATAGATGCTTCCTTGCACACTACAATCTTAGTTGAGATGAAGTCACATGGGTCATATGATGGCTGGTGAACAACATCACTCCAATGGGTGACAAAAGTGGTCAGTCCTTCAGTCAACTTCTAGGAGTCAAAATAATGAGCAGGTGCCTTTTCTTTTTTTTTTTTTTTTTTTAAAATAGCCTGGGCCCTTTGGCCTGGGTGGAGACTAAATCTGCTATCCCCCGCAGCTTACATATGTTCTCACTAGTGATATAACATAAGTCTGACCAGTTTGAATCTGGAATCCAAAATAAGGCTTCTTCAGAAACACAGAAAAATCTCCAGGTGATCCAATTCCTGTTGGGAATTAAGTAAAACCCTATCTTTTTGTTTTCTTTTCCTGCAGCTTGTGTAAACATGTGTCATAGTTTCTCTGTTTGGGACACAAGTAAATATGTATATATAATTTTTTGTGTGACTTAGCAGCATAAAGTTATCTCCATGACCGAAGCATGCTTGTCATTCCTTTCCTTTCATTCGTGAAATAAAGTGCTATTATATCATGGTTATAATAATACCAATAATGGGGAAATACAAAGCAGGAGAATAAACCTTTCTTCCATAACTCACCCATTATCTGGTGACCACAATGTGATGATATTAGCTTCTCTGATTCTAGGGTTAATTGTTATCTATCTTCTATATTGTCATAAACTTCACTTCTGACTTAATTTTATATTACACAACTGATTTAGTACATGTCTAGCTTCAGTGGCTCTTGTATCAGGTTAAAAAAAAAAAAAATAAAAAAAAATAAATAAATAAATCAAACAACAAACTTATTTACCCACTCTCAGATACACTGCAAGTACAACATGCAAATGTGGAGCAAAGACAGAAATAAACACTAAGACACTAAAATATCAAATGACAAAAAAAGATTTCCAAGTCAGAGTATAATTCCATGCATAATTCCATTTAATAAATTAATGCTTTGAAAATACATATTTAACATTTTTCAACCAACGGGTCACATTCCCAGCAATAATAAAAAACATGCTTTGTGATTCCTTTGAAGGGTATATAAGCAAAGTTTCTAGACTGGACATGGCAGTAATGAGATACCAATAGCAACAGTTTCCTTGAAGCATCAGCTTACACATTCACCCA